ACTACTACTACTACTACTAAGTACCACGACGACCACGACGACGACGACCACTACTGCTGCTACTACTACTACTACTACTACTACTACGACGACGACGACGACGACGCAGCACCATTAGAAGCAGAATTTATTCACAACGAGAGTTTGCTTCTGTATGCATAAGGCATAAGCTTAAACGAAAATCAACCTGAATTTTCCCTAGCTTCTGAAGCTTCCCCACAGCTTGGTAGCCGAGGGCCCCGACTTCCTTGCGGACGGCCTGGACCGACTGCTGAGCAGATTTAATGATGGCTGCGACCTGCGCAGGGTGAGCAGGTCGCGTCTAAATCACTGTGGCCAGTCAATGCAGACGTAGCGAGGTCATCACAGAGATGCTCATCGCGATGGTGAGGATGAGGGTGGTGGTGGTCATGCTGATGAAATTCAACGGCTTGATTGTCACAGGCATCATCATTCACCGTCTATCCCGATGAATTCTTTGCAACCAATGCAACTGTAGAAGCCTTAAATCATGAATCTTGCCAACACGACGTCGTGCCTGTGTAAGGGAATAGCATTGCTGAGCTGTTTCCCAAATCCCTGGAGTGAAAAGCAGGCACATGCGAAACAATCTTATTCATAACCTTTGGCATGAATGCAAATCACCATGACATCCGGCATCGTCACTGTCAGGTATCTTCTTCACTTTCCCTCGCTGCGAGGTGCGACGCTGCTTGCTGCTTTTCGGAAGGCTCCGAGATGCAGGGCGCTCGCGGGTTTCGACCTGGAGGACAACAACTGGTCTTGTTTCAGGGTTGGGAAACCCTGAACCCGAAATCGTAACCCCTGTCCTTCAATGAAGGTCCAGACTCGAAACCTTGACTTACAGCATGCCCCAACCTCAAATCCAGAAAAGAAGATAAGTCAACGGAAAGCAGTGTGCTTCCTATTTCAAGCTTGTTCCTAGCATTCGAAGCCCCGATCTGCCCTCAGCCAGCACCTTCTCCAGGCGATTGCCTTGTCGGACCCTTGGAGCACCTGGACCTCGAGCTTCAGGTTGGGGTTTGGCCTCTGGGGTTTGCGTATTCACAAGAGCCTGTGGCTGCCGCATTTTCCGCAGGATTTTAGGGAATCCAGGGTTCACAGGCCTTTACTTCTGCGCAAGCGCATGAAATAGGCTAGTTCATGCAGGTGTGGCAGTTATGGGTTGTGGTGCTGCAGTATCACTTGCGGCCAAGGGATTTGGGACGCAAGATTCGCGGGTCATGCCTGAATCCACGACGCAAGGCTACAATCTCATGAGCTCATGCGCCAGCTATGGACTGCCCCGGAGAAACCCTGCGTCAGGTTCCGAGCGCCGACCCATGCCCAACTTCTAAGCAACATTGAATAGTGCAGATCCCAGAAAAGACGGCACCAGATACAACCCAAGAAACAGCGTTTGCCAAGCGACCATCTGTGCCGGTTGACGGTGCGACGATCTCCTGGCTTTGCATGTGCTTCTGCCATGTTGTCGGACTGAAGGCTTCGTTTGGCGCCAAGCGCATGTCCTGCAGTTGCAATACCTGACACTGCCAGGTCTCAGGCTCAGGCCCCTACATTACATGTCAATGAGTGACAGGCCACTCACGACAAGCAAGATCGCTTGCAAGTCGGATCCTTCGGCGGAGCTGCTGCACACCTCACGCGCTTCACCTTCACCTCCCAATGGCGCAGGGCAGACGACCGCGACTGCTGCGGTTCGGGGTTTATTTAAACTGTGACGCGGGTTTCAAACCCCTCCCCTGTCATTGTCATCCCATCGCAGCGCACCCTTTCCCCTAAAGGCGGCACACACGAAGCGACCTTCGTCCCCTTGCTCATGGCCCTGCGCCGCTTCGGCGACACTGGTGACGCCGGCACGGCGTCACTGCGCAGGCCTCGGAGCGCACGCTGCCCGAGTTCAGGGTGGCGGGTGCGGATGAGTTTGGCGGCAGGGTGCAGGAACATCCAGGATATTTGGCCAAGAGTTGTTCAAGACTTTGGCTTTGAGTTTCGCCAGCAATCAGGGAATGCACAATCCAAGCCAATCATGGTACAACTGCCCGCTATGCGGCAACAGGTCCATTCCCAAACCCCCGCCCTGAAACCGAAAGACACAAACATGTAACTTGGAATCTTCAGCCCTAAACGGCTACACCATTCGGAGCGTCCGTGTGCCTGGAAAAGTACTCACCCGCTCCGGCTGCTATTTGCTATCGTTTGCTTTGGTGGTTGGGGGCTGGGGTTCAGTGTTTAGGTCCAGGCTTTTAAAGTTTCTCCTTTTCTAGTTTTGGGGGGTTCAAGGGTTCACACTTAAGACGTAAGACTTGAAGGCTTTTTCGCTCTCATGCTGAGACCAGCCGGTCGAGGCTCATAGTTCGCAGTGACACATTGGTAACAACCAACCTGCGACCATCTCACCCTAGACTCTAGACCACAGGAGCGAAACCCTAACTACTAAAAGCCCAAAACCACCGAAGCCCAAACGAAATCATAAGCCCTTTTTTATTTGCAGCTGAGCTCTGAGTGTGAGCCAGACAGAGACATAAATGGGTCATGGAAAAAACCGCTTGTGGGAGAAACACCCTGCACGTAGAAACAGAAACTGTAGTCCAAACACAAAAACTGCCAGGCCAGCGGCGAAGCAAGTGAATCTCACAGCTGCCCACTCCAGCTCGCCGGAAGTCCTCGGGCTTCGGAAGGGCGGATCTCTCGGACTCGGTGTTTGGTCCCAAGGGGTCAAACACAAGAAGGCAAAAAGGCTGTTTTGCCTCCCGCTTGGCTAGGTGGTTTGAGGTTTCTGGGCGTACGGCTTCAAATCAAGATTGGACTTCAAGTGAGGCAGCCCTGCGCTAAGGGCTTTAGGCATTAGGGTTTCGACGCTTACTCGCGCACGCAGCAGGCAAGGATCCACACAAGTCCGTCACACCAGAGAAGCTCCCAGGATACATGCCTGACCCCAAACCATCTACATTAAGGTTTAGGATTCAAGGTTAGGGTTATGTAAGCGTACGGGAGTAAAGCTTCCGGATAGATGAGCGTCTTGTAGGGTTTTATGATTCTGACTTTTTGCCAGGCCCTAATAAATCAAGCTTACCAAACTTAGACGGGCAAGTTGTCGAAGGAAGGTCTCGGAAAAGCTCGGGCTCTGCGAACCAATCCGGAAAACAGTCAGCACTATAATACCGCAACTACACCTGGAAATGAGTCCTAGAACCTACTCAGACAACTGGCCCAAATCCCAAGTCCCCAAACCCCCAACTTTACACAGGCCCAAGATGGCCCAATCAGATAATCCTCACAAAGCACCTGGGCATAACCCGATCACACCAAACCCTCAAGCATGAAACGCAAAAAACTGTGAAGCAAGGCTGAAACCCTGATTCCTGGATTCCTAACTCGCCCCCTTTGCCCACGCGGGCACCGGGTGGAGCTCCCCAGGCGCCAGCGAGGCGCGCTCGTAGCAGCTGTCGCAGAGTGCGAAGAATCGACCCTCGCCCTTGGCTTGGCCCTGGGCACAGCATACATTTTGCGTTCTGGGGTTTTGTTTTGGCTTGTGGTTTTGGTGCCAGATGAATCTCTTGGTTCAATAGTCTCCGGTCTGCGGTTCATGGTCTAGGTTGGGCACCAGGCGAGGACACCGTGACGATTCGCGTTTGAAGTTCGAGAGCCGAACACCGGTGAGTCGGTGAGCACATTTCTGACGGAATGTAAACGAGCAAATCGCAGCAATGCCGTTTACAGTAGTTACATAGGTGTTGGAGTGCCTTCCCCTCAACATTCGGAAACCCTCGCACTGTTGGATGCTTTGTGTCTGCGCGATTGCGATTGCGATGTCTTTTGCACGGACCGAAACTAATCGGTACTTTTGGCACTCACTATTTAGGGTGTTGTTGCTCCGACCCGAGTTTCACCTTCTGCTGCCGTGCCCATTGCAACACTCGTCATCTTGGTCTGGGCATGGATGTTTTAGCGAACGGTGGAAGGGGTCACATGAGTCATCCTGGCTTGGGCATGGGTGCTTTGTGGAACTGATTCACTGGTCACGCCAACGTCATCATGGTTTGGGCATGGATTCTTGGGGGAACGGATGAAACCGAGGCGAATCACCATGGGGCGCAATACCGACGGTATCGGCACACGAAGCCAAAGAAATGCCACAAATACCGATGCTGCCGCTATTTGCGAAACCGAAAGCGAAATGTTGATGTGCACGATGGTCTTGTTGTTCCAGCTGTAGATACCAATGTAAACGGCATCTGCAGATTGAGTGGTTTCAATGAAGGGCATATAAGAAAGCCACCAAGGGGCTGGTTGCGGCAACAGAACAACAGCAAGAGTGACGTACGACAGTGAAGATGAACACTGCTGGGAGCGGTGGTGCGGAGTGGTGCGGGTGGTGCTGGCGGCTGCTGGCGGTATAATGATGGAAGCCCTGAACTCTCACTAAAGTGGCATTCTTTACTCCAAAGTCCCAGCCTGAAGCTCAAGACCAATGAAAAGTGTTGTCCTTGTGGCTACTACAGCTATATCCACGCGGGTCGTTCCGCTCCTACCCCTCCCCCTCGCCAGCTGAGAACAGCCTCGTGAAAGCGTCTGACATTGCTGATGATGATCACCTCAGCTCTGAAGGAGCCCGGGATGATTGCCGGGTAGGCTTTTTTCCCCACCCGGCCAGCTGACCAAGTCGCACAGCAGGTGAGGATCCAAGAAATGTAGGGTCTTGGAGTCCGCTTTGAAGTGCTGAGGGCCGGCAACACTACATCCGCATGAGAGCATAGTTGCAATCCACTTTCAAGCCTTTCAGCGGCCTTTTTTGCGTGTATGAGCCGGGTCACAGTGTCCGGCTTCGAGAGCTTCAGGAGGGTGTCAAGCAGCTGACGCCCGAGAGCCTCTTTGGCCGAAGCATAGATCACCTTACTGGATGATTAGGATGTTTTAGGCCTTGGGGAATAGGGACTGTAGGGCTTAGGGATTAAGGATATTAAGGTCGAGGCTTTTACCCTTGTTCACCCACCCAAACATCAGAAAAGCGTGTGAAACCTTCAAGCATAACACTGAACCAGCAACGTAAGCCCCAAAACGTGCAGGGAAATAAATCTTGTAAGGCCTAGGGCAGGATTTCGCTGGATCTGCAGGGGCAGGCTCACGGCAACGTTTCTTGCCTCCCGCCTGGCTGGGGCGAACGTACGGAAAAAGACTACATTCAAACATTTTAGGATATGAACTGACATGAAGTTGTTTTCGGTGTTTCAGCTTCGATTGAGGATTCGAAGCGGGCAAAAATTCTGAAGCGACCTGGAGGTGGAACAGCAGCCCGAACCTCAGACAAGAAACCTGAAATCACCGACCAAGCTGACAAGCAACAAACGCAGAAGGCGAAGCGTAGTGGCATTTCGTTATCAGGCTAGTACCCCTGTTCTTCCGACCCGTGCGACACCTTGACTGCTAGGCCCCGCCCTTAAAACTGGCTGCATCTGCAGCGAGGAGGAAGTCCGGACGCTCGTCGAGGCCAATCTTGGAGAGGGGGTCCTGGCAAGGCTTTGGGGATGCAAGGGCAGTGTACGCTTTTTCAGGTTGGGGCATGTTTGAGCATTTTTTTGCCTCCTACATGGCTGAGCGAGTCGCGAAGTAGGGTTTCAGGAGATTGACGAGTGGTCTGTACTGCCAGCATGTCCCATCTTATTGACGGGCAGTTCGTTTCAAATCTCTGCACAGCTATTGTTAAGCAACCAAAGAACACCATGGTTCAGAGACTAGGCTCGGTATCAACCACGTCTCAGCTTCTAATTACGAAGCTCAATTGCACCAGATTGCAGCCAAATGCACATATCAATTATCAATTACAAATTACGAATTACAAATTTGATGCACTGCACATTGTCAGGCTCTCAACGTCAGTCACGCCAATGCAGGATACTGAGCAGCCGAAAACACGGTAGAATACCAGAGTACCGAAGTACTCAGGTATTCTACTTCATTTGAACCAGCAGTCTCATCTCTCCATGTTCAGAAGTCAAACCTCTTGTATTCAATCAGCTCCAGGATTATTGCAGAAACAAAGCAGCATACCCGAATACCGCAGCGTCCAGGTAGTCCACTCCACTTTATTCTGCATTCACTTCTCTTCATGCGCAGAAAAGCAAAGCCACCCGTTCAGATGTATCCCAGCTGTAGCCGTAAAGGAGTGAGATTGACAACTGTATGCAGCGTCTCATACCCCAAAGCTTTGCATAACAGTGACAGCCTGGTGGCACGAAAGTTGACAGCCACCCATGAGCTCCGCCACTGACATGACTCCGCACTCTAGCGTCTGAGAGCAGTGTCGTGGCCCATTGTCGTGTTTAGCGCACATGTCACCACGTAAGGCCAACTCCGCATTCAGCACACTGTATGCCTTGTAAAGAAGCGATCAGCAGTGAAGCCAGCGATCAATGAGTCTCTTTTTTTTTCTCATCCCTACTTTCACTCTTCCCAAAGGGCAGTACAGCAACTCCAGGGCGGAGTGTGTAGAGCAGCGTCATTTTCATTAACCCAGTCAATCTCGTCAATGGCTTCACATTCGCCATCTCCAAGGTGAACCAGGCCTGAAAGGCTGTCAGCTGTTCTGTAATCCATATCCAGCAGGACTTGCACGGACTGTGTATGCAGAGACTTAAAAGTCGCACTGCAAAAGGTCAGAAGTGCCATGGCTGGAATGCGCAGCAGGGTAAGGAACCTAAAACCCAAAAGGGGGGGAAACCCAGCCAATATAGTTCAGTCAGACCCAAGAGGGATAGGGGGGCGCATACGTTTGTAGAGGAATTCGGGGACTTACCCAATATACACCAAGATCTAAGTGCTTTAAAAAAGTTCGAACATGTCCTCCATACCTGACAGTGGTGGTCGCAGTGGTGGGGCATCTCATTTGTGGACATCTCAGTTCATCATCAGCATCCATCCATCCAATTACCAATTAGAGGGTGCAACCGAATTAGGGCCACCGAATTAAGGCTGAATCGGAACTTGCAGGCAATCTCTTGTCCAACAGCACACCCACGTACAGGACGCACTAAGAAACACAAACAAAAGTTTGCGCATGTCCAGTTACGCCTGCATTAGCAGCCACTGCTGTGAAACAGAATCCTCTCTCCACTGCAAACTTTTATGAGGGGAAATACGATGGTGTGGGAGAAGTTTTTTGCAGGGTGTTGAGGATTCTACCATCTCACGTCAATCAACTTGATGTATGATCGTGCTCCCCTGAAGTTTTAAACCGGACTGCGACACTTCCAAAGTCTGAAGTGACTCACGTATGTGGGTCTGTCGAGGTTTCTTTTTAGTAGGCGAGTCAGTAAAAGGCTCGAAAGAGCCATCAGACTCGTCAGGCAATGGAAATCCTGCCTCTCGCAATTCACTCTTCACATGAGAGGTCAGGGAGTGTGTGTGAGCTACGGACCATGCGAGCAGAACTACCCTGTCACCCCCTTCCCATGGAATCGTAGAATGCAACCGCTCGCGACCATTGAAGACTAAAGGTGCGACAGAAGTGTCATAAACAAAGCCCTTGACTTTGGACCCCAAATGATCAACAGTTGTATCCCCACGAAGATCCTCAATCCAAATTCCTCCCCCACTTACCTTTGACGGGAGTTGGAAGCACGTTCCACAGGGGGCGTTTTTTGAGTCACGATGGGGTCCCAGGCTCAGGCCTTCACGAACTGCACAAGTGGTAAATTTAAAGGACGGGACATGATGCTTCAAGTACATGAGGATGGACTGAAGAAACTGTGGGTGTGAGAAAGTTCCCTGTGCGGCTACAGTTGATGACCTGGGGCTTGCGCCGAAATAGATGACTTTGGGGTTCGAGGACGAAGTAGGCTCAGAACTCTTAAGGTGGAGCTTGAATTGGGGTGGGATGTTTCTCCAGGTTTGTAGAAGGTCGTTCGTGGTTACAATCCTCTCGCCTCGTGCCACCTTCTTGTTCAGGGCAAAACACTCCAATTCCGGTTCGCATAACTTGGCATCGATGGAAAGCGCTCTGCTAATCAGAACGCACTCTGCTGAAGAAAAGACGTCCTGGAAGCACATCTCACTGTCACTCAAAGTAGTGGGACACGATTGGGGCTTTAAAGCATCGATCATCGGGACGCTGGGTGGCTGCGACTCCAAAACGATCTGGATCTCTTGGGATTCAGAGTCTGCTGCACCGGCTTCGGAGGACATGTGGGATTCTGAGACACCAAGTTACGGCTGTGTCACACTTCTAAAGATCAATGGTCATGCGTACTCAGTGAGCCAGCACAAGCAGCAAATTGCAAGGTGTCAGTCTGTACTACATCACACAAGACATGCCCTGAGCGCACGAGACAGCGGCAGCTTCAAAAGGTATGACTTGTTTGACATGACAGTTTGCTCTGAGCGCACAGTGACTAGCTGGCAGCTACAAGATGCATCATCGACCTTGCTCTGAACGCACAGTGGCAAGCTAGCAGCTACAAGATGTCTCATCGACTTTGCTCACATAGACGCATATATTTTCTTCCCGGCTGTAACAGGGTTCGAGTTTGCACTCAGTTCGAAACGCACACGGGCATGCATGCAAGAGGCCCCTGCAGTCAAGGATTCAATGCCGATGGGCACGACGCAATCTGGCATCTGAGTGCAACACTCAATTACTCAATTACACGGTATTTACACCTGAGCGATCAGAATTACAAATTAAAGTGCAATGCAAAACGCAAATTCAAAATTACTTGCAGGGATTTGTGCAAAGGGCCATGTCGGAATTACAAATTAAAAAATAGCAAATTAGAGGGCGAACCCTAGAGGCATGCAGTAATTACGTGTGCCATTCGTCAAAGCTGCAGAATGGATGTGCTGGAAGGATACGAGAAACATGCGAGTACATGAGTCAGTGAAAACCCTCAAACACATCGCGGCAGCAAGTGAGTGGGCAATTCAGCCCGGCAGGTGCTCCATCCTCAAGTCAAAAGTGGAACACATCGCTAAAAGATCAGCGCTGACCTGCCAGGAAATTGCCTAGACTGTTGATCAGCGCTTCGCCGAGGCGCCGGAACTGGCGTGATCAGAAAATTCTGCGGCGGGGCTCGCTCACCTTGGGTGTAAAAGATCCTCGGAGGGTTGGTGTTGCCCCCCACGTGCTCTGCCAGCCTTAGCTGGAAGCTGGACGGCCCCGGTGCCTCAAGAACCACCTGCGGGGCCTGTTGAGCGACTTGAGGTACGGCTTGTGGTTGCACCTGTGGTCCCAGTGTAGTCGGTGCTCCGGCTGCGTGTGACGGCAAAGGTCCACTTGGAGCCGAAGAGGTTGCCGAGGAAGGTTGTTGACCTTGGTCGTGTGAACCTTCCCTTGGAGGACGCCGAACCGGCCTTCGCTCAAGCTCTTGACTGATTGTCAGAGTTTGTCCAACCTGGTCCTGCAGGGCTTCGTTTCCTCGCTGCACTTGTCCTTCCAGCTCGTTATGCTGGTCCACGATTCCCGTGACCAGCCCCTCGATCCTCATCACTCGGTGCTCCACGTTCTGCATGGTGTCACTTGTCGTCTGGAGCGTCTGTTGTGCAGAGTCCGATTGTCTGCGTCCCGCAAAGACGCCATCCTCCAGCCTCAGAGTTTTTTGCATGAGCTGGTCAACAACCTCGCCCACTCGTTTCGTCTCAGAGACGCAGGGGCCAAGGCCACGCACCAGGGTGATGATGTCCCGTGTTTGGCTGGAGATCCAGCCCTGGCCATCTTTGTTCGCAGTGAGCAGGGCCTCGGTCTTCTTGTGCACGACAACGCGGATCACCTCCACCTTCTCAAGCAAGTCCTCGAGCTTACGCTCAAGGGTTGTCTGAGTCTGCTGCAGAGTTGTCTTAGCAGCTTCATCAGAGGCTTTGGCATGGCTTGCGAGCAAGGTCTTCAAGGAAGATGTAGTGCCCACTGACAGCTTCGACAGATTCTCGTACTGAGTCTTCATGGCCTCATCCATCTTTGTGGCCGTCAGTATGTTTGACACCGCCTCGTGAATCTCCGTGAGCTCCTTGGCCACGCCGTGGATGGTCCCGATGCTGGACAGAACGTCCATATGCTGCTTCTTAAGAACATCCAGCTCCGTCCTCAGGAAATCCCCACGGCGAGGTATCCAAAGCCCTTGGTGAGGAAGACGTGGATGCTGGGCGGCCATGTAGATCGTCACACAGACTTTGTAGGGTCTCTGCTGTTGCATCCACCTTCTGTTGGGTGGCGATCAAGGCGAGGGCCACACGTCGCTGCCACGTCAACATGTGCACGATGACCACTCCCAGTCCAAGGAGCATGATCGCACACACGAGTGCCTCAACCCATGTGCATCCGACTTCCCTTGCACACCACACCGTTTCCACGATGGCTGTGAGCGGCTGGAAGAAGATAGCTGTGTCCATGGCGAAAGGCAAATGCAAAAGGCGAAACGGGAGCACGCGGTCACTTGAAAGATCAGGCTGTCTGGCACTGTAGTCTCATGAGATGCATCCACTATGATTAAAGTGGTCGTCCTGCCCCCCCCCCTTTCACA